CACACCCAATTTCCTCCATCTTGTCCCCTTTGGACCCCTCATCTAGGATCCTAAAATTTTACTTTTGCACCCGTGCCACACTTAATTATTACTGATATCAAACACTCAGAGCTTGTAATTCATCCTGTAAGATTGAAAACTCTTTTCCATGGACAGAGATCACAGCCAGTGTCTCTGGGGGCTCTGTCCAGGGGGGTTCCTGACCCCTGCCAGGGTCCCAGACCTTCCAGGGCAGCCAGAGGGAAGCCCTGGACTCCCACAGATAAGAAGCACCCAAAACTGACAGAATATTCCAGCTGTGCTGTCACTGAGGAGGAGAAGGAGAAGGGTAAGGATTTGCCTCCAGCTGGGAATGGCCTCAGCCACACGATGTGATTCCCCTTCTGGCTGTGGGAGCACTCCTTGGCTCTGGGTGCAGGACTCCAAGCCTGTGCCAGCTCCTTGGCAAGCAGGGGAGAGCCAAGCCCTGCTGGCAGCTCAGCCACGCTGAGCCTGTCCTTGGTGGTCCCAGGAATGACACAGGGTGTGAGACCAGCTAGGAGGCTCTGAACCCCTCCCCACAGCCAGCCAGGAAAGTTCAGTCTCCTCTCTCAAATCCAAATGTGGTGACACAGGCATAACCATACCCCAGAGCTAAATACCCTCACAGGTCATTTTTAGCAGCAGGACTTTTTGCCAGGACATTGTTTTGTTCAAGCCAAGTCACCCAGGCATGTCAAAAAAATTTGAAGAGGGGTTTTGGGTATAGAACCCCTCAATCAATTCTGGTCAGTGAGAAAGAGACTCAGTAAGAAATCTCAAGCCTTTAAACCTTAAATGAGACATTTTGGCATAGCTCCATTTCTTGGAGGACAAAAAAACCTCAGTGTTTTTTGTTCATTCTGATAAGATAAAGAATAATTTTGAATGTACCAAAGTCGCTGCCAAACCAAGTTGTTCTTCTATGGACAATGTGGCTCCATGCAATTTTAGCAAGTAATTAAAATAAAGGCCAGTGGGTCTACATACAGTTTTGATGTTGAAAAACCCATTAAAGCATGAAATCTGCAGATCTTTCAACTAATGAATAATTGTATGCACAGCCTGTCCGCATACAGTAGCACTTTCATGGCAACAGCTCCAGAGCTTTTCATACCACACATTTTTAGACTATTGAAGCCTTGGTGTTGTGATAATGATACAATTTACAGATGGCAGCCAAGTACTTGGTGGAACAATTTCAAGTAGAACCTTTAAGCCAGTGGATTTAAGAGTTTCAGGGCCAATGCAGGTATCAAGTATGCCTCAGGTGAGGGCTGCACTGGCAGGGCCTTATCTCTAAAAAGAACTAAAGCACACAACCATACCAATTTACATTACTGGGAGAGAATTCCTCGAGGAAAGGCAAATATGTCATTTAGTACACAAAACTCTCCTGAAGATTTCAATATTTTTCTCTTGGGCATTCTTCTTTTCGCTGGCAGGAATTTACTGCATGACCTAGTTTTCCTTTCAGAGAGGACTAGTCACACACACCAAAAAAAACCCCAAAAAAACCCCACAAAAACTCTCTAGGAAACACATGGTTACACAAACGAAATGGAGGCATGAAAGGAATTGATGCCAAGCAGAGGGGAAAGGACAGAATCACCTTTTAGAACTGGAATCAACCAAGAACCTATAGAGAAGAAAGCTGAGTAATCCCTTCTTACTCCAAACTTCTCTTCCTTGAGAAGTGCTCAATATCTGTCATTTTGGTGCTCTGTGTTGCAGGCTGTGAACTCTTTGCAGGGTGTAGCAGCAAAGGAGCTACCCAAAGAGGACCCTGGCCCTTGACTGAACCTCAGGATGCATTCCCAGCAGCAGCCAGTGATTTCATCACAGAAATTATAAACTTTGAGAGACCCATCTAAGCTGTAGAGAAACCTACAGCTCACAGCATTTCTTTCCAAACACAGCCTTTAAAGAAAACAGTTTTTATCCTGGTGTCTAATCCCTTCTGAAATTCTGAGATACTCGCTGTTCTGAAAGAGTACTGAAAAAACAACCATTTCACCAAACAGCCAACTGCAGGAGTAAAAAAACAAAGCCTCCTCACTTCCCCCACCCCCATCTTTAAACTCCTGCATGCTCTACCCACCCTCAACAATAAATTGTAGACAAGCAAGATCACAGGACAGATATTTGGCAGCACAGCAATACTATATTTACTTTGGATACTTAAGAATTGGGAGGCAGAAATAAGCAGTTGTATGAACTGCTGCATCTGCAGCTTCTTGGGGGTGAAACCTTGTTTTCCTCACCTTTCTTTCTCCACCATGGCCCTTCCTGGATAGAGTAGGAGAGTTCTTTAAACTCAATGTTCACAGCTGGCCTGCGGGGCAGGTAGGAGAACCTGTGAGCTTCTGTCAGAGCATTGTCCACTTTTTTTAAGTGTCCATTGATGAGTCGGATGTCCTGGGTGTCTGTGCCATTGGAGACCACCTCGTCCACAGAAACACACACAGACTTTGGCTCGGCCATGGTGCAACCAGAACTGCTGCCACCCTGCAGGGAAAGTGGAGAAAGTTCACAGGCTTTTGTTTAGGAACACGTTTCAAAACCTTCTGCACCAGAGGAATTATTCCTTAGTGTTGTAATGCACTGAAAGGTGAAAAGAGGAGTAAAATAAAGCAAGCTTTTGTTTGTTCTTTTGCCTGAGTCTTGACAGAAGAGGTAAAAGAGCTCTTGCAGCACATACAGTTCCTTTAGCACTAGTTTTTCTTTCAGATCTTGCACCAGATTAATACTTTTATAAGTCCAGTCCTCATTGTATTTGGCTTCTCATGCACTCAAGGAATTTGGTTCTAGTTACTCTGATTCAAGGACTTGGGACACAGCTGAAGGGGGAAGGGATCTGGCTGAACAATCATTTGTGCAGACATTTCAAAAGACAGCCACTCAAAGTGTCCAAGAGCTCTTGTTCCTCTGGATCAGCCTATGCATCTGTAAAGGTGAAATTATATTTCTGCAAATTTTCAAATGTACCGTTTCATGTCTTATTTTCTCCTGCACTGATAGTTCTGGAGAGTTTGCAACCTGGGATGACAGTACAAGTTCTTTTCTGGAGGTCTATCAGGAAGATACAATGATTTGCACCCAAAATCCTTGAGTGCTTTCCATGCTTGATAGTGATAACTGATGGAAATCTTATCAGCTACATGAGCTCACAAACCCTGCTCCAGTTCTTGCACCACTGACACTGTAAGGTCAATGTCCTCTGCTCACAGCCATCCCTCTTGCTATATTTTGCCTATCACAGCACTCTGTGCAATTCCACTTGGCACTTTTTTGACTAAACCTCCTTCCCCTCCCCTCCTGGCCATGACAACAGCCTTCCACCTTTCCACCTTTTTCTTCTTTTTTTTTTATTATGCACACAAAATTTGGATTGTTTTTCCATTCCTTTTACCGCCACAGGTTCCTTGCACCAATATAAGCAGGATGTGTGTAAGCTCAAAAGAAAAACAGTCATGAATTTTCTTCAGCTAAATAGAATTTTGAACAGTTCAGAGGCTGTTTGCTGTCACCTGTTGTTTGGTGGATGTCATAAGCAGAGCCAAACATCTGCACAGTTGTCTATTAAGAAATTTAGTATTTTTAATGCAGATTTGTATTGGAAAGGACTTCTGTAGATGGCTTAAGTGCCAGGCCTTCCATGCTGACACGTAATACAAAGTTATCTCTTGGAAAGCAGATGTGCTGCACTACTTTTCAATGGATGAACACAAACAGATCTGCAGATCCTGCCACTGTTTCCCTCTATTTGTCTAACTCAACTAAGAAGTGACACTGCCTCCTCCTGCCACTTCCATTTCCCTCTCATGGTTCCTGGTCTTCCCATCTCTGTTATAACAGCAGCCCAGTTCAGATCAGTCACTTGTCATGAATGCTGACAAAAACATTTAAAAAACCTCCAGTTCTACATAATCACTGATGAAAAAAATGTGCTCCTGCTTAAACACTCCATACCTGGCATCTTCACATTCTTCACGCACAAGCCCCCATTTCGGGATGAAAATAATCAGCTCTGCTCACCACATTTTCTCAAGAAAGAGATTTTAATCATGCTCTCAACTTACTTAGAGGTCAGGTATCCAGTAACACTTACTGTCAAATTCTTAAATAGTTGACTGCCATGGTATGTAATTTGAACATAACAAGAGTAATGTGAAACATCTTAGAGCTCAGCAATTAAAGCAGGGGAACTTCCCTAAAAACTAAGAGAAGGTGAGTTAACAATATTCTTCCCTGGATGTTTGCAAGGCTGACTTTGGCACTCACAATCTGTTTTGTTCCGAGGAGCCACTGGGGGCTTTGACACAATCAGAGAGAATATCCAAAAATGAACTCTGAATGAGCAGGTCACCTTGATTATTCAGGTGACAGTCAGAGCTTCTCCAGAAGAAATATCTTTTGGACAAGACCCTTGCCTCTGACTACTCAATCATCTGAGAGTATGAAACCAAAGACTTTTGTTACTGGGATATTAAACAATTTCAGTCCCTCTGTGGACCGAACTGCCTGTTCACCCACCTGCCTCTTCCAGGGACCACCCGCTATGGGGTGACCCAAGCCCTCCCTGTATCGGGATCACCTTCGCTTGGAAAAAGCTGGGCAACCCCGTGGCTACGACAGCCACAGACTCAGCCAAGCCGTGTGCGAGGCACAGCCACACCTGAGCCCCCTCTGCGCCCGCTCCAGCACCTGCACCGCTGCCATCCCCAGCGATGCCCCAGCCCCGCATCCCGACCTGCGCCCGCTCCGCAGCTCCGCGCTCACCTCTCCGCTGCTTTGGGGCACTTTGGGCTATTTCCCACGGACTTGGATGGAGCGAGGGGAGCGGGGCCGCTGCCGGCGCCCGGCGGGGACGGCGGCGCCCGCCCGGTCGCAGCGGCAGGACGGTCCCGCGGGCTCTGCCCGCCCCGTCCCCCGCCGAACCCGGCTGTTATGCAAAGGTTACGGTCCCTCCGCAAATCCTCCGGGAAGGCGGCGGGGCGCAGCGGCGCAGGGAGCATGCTCGGCGATAATCCCCCCGCCTTAGCTACAGACAGAGGTAACCAGCGGTCAAGTCCCGCCGTGCGCCGCCGGCCGCTCGCACACTCGCATCCTTCATCCCCCATCCTTCATTCCGCATTCCCGCACCCTGCATCCCGCACCTCGCGTCCCTCAGCCCCCATCCTGCCCACCGCACCCCCGGCCGCACCCTCCGACCCTGCTTTCCCCTCGGGAGGAGTCTCTGGGGCTCCCCGCGGAGCCCTGGCTCTATCTCCGTCCCCCAGCCCCTCACCTCGCCCCCCGCCCGGAGCCCAGGCAGGGCACGCCTTACCGAAGCGCTGCCCAGGGAGAAAGCCGCCATCAGACATGCCATGTGCGCCGCTGCCCGCCCGGCTGCCGGCGGAGGAGCCCTCCGGCGCTGCCTCCCCGCCCCGGCTGGCTGCGGGGGCGGGCGGGCCGGGATGGAGCTGGGGCCGCCCCCGCCGGGGATGGGGAGAGCGGCGGGGTCGGGGCGCCCCTCGGCTCCGGGCAGGGTGGGCAGCGTGTCCCCGGCCCGCCCCCGCCGGGGATGGGGAGAGCGGCGGGGTCGGGGCGCCCCTCGGCTCCGGGCAGGGTGGGCAGCGTGTCCCCGGCCCGCCCCCGCCGGGGATGGGGAGAGCGGCGGGGTCGGGGCGCCCCTCGGCTCCGGGCAGGGTGGGCAGCGTGTCCCCAGCCCGCCGCTGGCCGTGGTTCTCGCTCTGCCCAAACCCGCGGCAGGCGCTTGTGCCGAGGACGGGGGCAGCAAAGGTCGCTCGCCGGGATGAAATGAGGAGGGCGGTCAGCATTGTCCCTACGCTGCAGGCAGGGCTAAAGAGCTCCCGGAGGTTTTCCCTGAGGAAATGGGGAGTAGAAGCACCCTCCGTCCCATTTTCATGAGGGTGAGACAGCTTTTCTAGCCCTGGGACCCCTACCCACTGATTTCTGAGCAAGCCATTGTAGTTCAGGAATGGAGAGGAAGGAAAGTTGTCACCGAGTCACATTCTGCATTAATTTACTCCTCACACCAAAGACCTGCATTTCAGCGAGGTCACACAATCACTAAATCACAGAATGGTCAGGCTGGAAGGGACCACTGTGGGTCACCAGGTCCAACCCCCTGCTCCAGCAGGGTCATCCCAGAGCACACAGCGCAGCGTTGTGTCCAGATGGTTCTGGAATATCTTCAGTGAAGGACACTCCACGCCCTCTCTGAACACTCTGTCCAGTGCTCGGTCACTGCTGAGGAAAGTTCTTCCTCGAGTTCAGGTGGAACTTCCTGGGCTTCAGTTCTGCCAATTCTCTCGTCCCATTGGTGTGCACCAGGAGCAGAGCAGGTCCATCCTCTGACACCTCCCTTCGGGCACTGAGGTGCTCACAGTGGTGCTCACATGGCATTAAGGCTGTGCTGGCTCTGCTGGCTTGATTCTGGATCCGTGATTAGGCTGGGAGGTGGATTCATTGGCTGTGCTACCTGGGGACAAAAAGCTCTGGCCCAAGGAGCTGAAAAACCCACCAGCCATCTGAGTGTTCCCATTCCTGCTGGGACTGTTTTAGGTGTGTGCTGAGGCTCCCTCTCAATTCCTCTGGAAGCAGCAGAAAGTGGGGATAAAATACAGCAGTGGTCTGAGAACTGGTTTCAAAGCAACTACCAAACATGACATACAGGAGTTCATCATCTGAGAGGAATCTTCTAACCAGAGAACTCCCCAGAGTGGTTTGAACTCGTGTAGCATTGCACAGACATGGGATAAGCCTCACAAAGCCCCTGGGAGGCAGGTAAGTATTTTATTCCTGTGTTTCCCCCAGGCAGCACGGTGCTGCAGGGGGGGAAGTGCTGCCCAGAACATCTGTGCCAGGTCAGATGTGGTCCTTGCCCTGCAGTGTCCTCCCTCCTGGCAGTGGCTGTGAGATGGATGCACAAGGAAGTGCTTCTAGCACAGGGCTGGATTCTATCAAATGTCTCCCTGATGCTCTCCCAGCCCACAGCTGTTCTTGGCTCAAGGATCTCCTGATGTGATTGCCTCTCCAGAATGTGCTAATAACCCTCAGTGGGAATCTCTTCCATGAGGGAAGACTCCCCCTTGGAAATGTGCAAAATTCACCATCCACTGCAACCCCTGGCAAGGAACAGTGTGGGGACTCTAAGCTCAGCCTTGGATTCAGTCCTTAGGTGTTGCAGAAAGTTATTTATTTATAACTCATTTACTGGGGAAGAAATATATACCTGCTGTGGAATATCACTCAAACATGGATGGACACATCCCAAAGTCCTCACTGAAGGCTTAAACTATGTTTGAGTAGACATTTTAAAGACAATTATCACCCAATATTAGGAATCAAGAGAATTTATGATGTATTCTTCCAGTGAGGATTCCCAGGGTTTTAGTTAACTTGATTTGGAGCATGTGTTTGTAGCACCCACAATTTATTCAAGCTTGTAGTTTCCCTTAGAACATTGCAAAAGCTGCATTCTCTCCATACAGGAGGGGAAAAGGGCTATGAAATACTGATGTGTGTGCTTAAAGCATTTACAGGGTAGGAAAAAAATACTTAAAGATATAATATTATATTATATCTTATAATAATAATAATATATATATTATATTAATAAATAATTTTATATCTTATAGTTTTAACTTTGAAGTGGAACTAGAGAGAGAAGAAGCCATACCCTGATCCTAGCGAATGTGTGATACAGACCCAGCACAATGTTTGCTGTCCTGTTTTAACTTCCTAAAGGCTGAAAGAGAAGCCAGGAAAGCAACATAAAAGTCCTGAAATCTGCTGCACAAACCAAGTTTCAGCTCTGTCCATGAGAAGTTTGTGGTACCAAGGTGCTGCCTTCCACAAGAGTTTTTCCTGAGCAAGTGTAAATGACCAGATCCCCAGGATTTATTTTTATCATGGTGGCTGCACTATCAGTATCTACAGGGGTTTCTTGTAAAACACTGAGACAAAGAACAGGTTTATCAGAAACCAAGTTCTATTTGGTATTTTGGTATCTATTTTGATACCACACAGGGGAAAAAAAAATTATTACATAAGATGAAGTATGCTAAAAATAGCAGTCTCCTGCATTCCTACATTCCCTCATTAACTCTTCCATTAACTTTACAGGTAGTTCCCTGGTCCCTGCAGACAAAAAAAATCAAGAATACAACACTGTGTGAAGGGGGGGGGGAAGGGGGGAAGGAAGGGGGGGAAAAAAAAAGGAGAGAGCTAAAACTGTTAAAAAAATCAAGGAAAAAAAAAAAAGCTACAAATGAAGGTGAGGAAAGGCAGGCAGGGACAAAAGCCTGACACCTAAAATAGATGAGGAAATAGTAGTAGCTTCCAGGCTTTACAGCAGGATAAGCATTATAGACACTAGACTGGTGCAGCCCACAGGAAGGAAAAAGAAGGTTGAAAGCAGAAATGCACTGGGAAGGGCAGGGAAAAGTGGAAATGCACCGACAGCAAGAGAGGGCAGATGTTCAGCAGAGCCACGGGAGGCATTTTAGTGCAGCACTGCTAGCTCGGGAGGCTCTGCAAGAACTCGTTCATGTGTAGAAGTGCTGCAGCCTCAGGAAATGCAAAGGGCACTGTGGACTTCAGTGCTGGGATACAACATGTGGGAAAAGTCCAGCCAGAGTGTGGAGGAAGCAGATGGGGAAAAAAAAGTGAGAACTGTAAAAGGCAAAAGATTTTAGATGGAATTTTCACTACAACTGTACCCCAGCTTGACCAATTTGCAACTTGATGTTAATTTAAGCTGCTCTGGGCAGAGTTCAAGGAGTTTTCTGGAAAATATTTCAGGAGAAATCTTCCTAAAGAGTCAAGCTGGGAGCAAAACCAAACTGCCCACTGTGAAATGCTCATGCAATTATTTGTTGGAACAAAACAGCAACAACAGTTTGTCGTGGACAGAGGATCATTTTGGCATTTGAAAACACAAGGTGGTTTAGATGGCTTGTGGATTATGTTTGCTGTCTTCTGATGCTCTGCCGAAGATTTTCTGTGGGTTTTTTTTTTGTTTTGTTTTGTTTTGTTTTGTTTGTTTGTTTTGGGAGTTTGGGGTGTTGTTTTGTTTTTTTTTTTTGTAGGTTTTTTTATCATATGCAGAAATAAAGGGGCGGGGAACCAGCAAAAAGTCTCGTGGGTCTTGTCAATTACCATTATAGGAAAATAAAAGTTGGAAAGAACACAGGTTGGAACAGGGGAAAGATGAGGTTAAGAGAAGCGATGGTTTGATTCTGAGCGCCTGGGGTAGGTGAGAGCCCGCAGTGGAGAAAAAGACACGAGGAAAGGAGAGAACAGGGAGGGGGGGAAGAAAAGAGAAGGAAAAGGGAGGTTTTCACCTCCCAGGTCGGTAGGCTGTACGAAAGGAGAGAACACGGAGGGGGGGAAGAAAAGAGAAGGAAAAGGGAGGTTTTCACCTCCCAGGTCGGTAGGCTGTAGCGCCCGTCCGGCGCGGGAGCTGGGCGAGTTTGCCCGGCGCCGCTCCCGCTTGGACAGGGCACCGGGACCCTTTGCAGTCTTGCGTGGCTGAGATTCTCGGCTCCGCCTCATTTCAGCTCGGGCGCTTTTACCGCGAGCCAGGCGCGGCCCCCAGGACAACGGCGCAGCCGGGACCGCGGGACTCTCCGCAGCTCCGGCCGCGCTGCCGCCGCTCCACTCTGAATGGGACCGGGGAAGGTCCCCGCTGAACGCCCCAACGAGACTCCGCCCGCCAACGATTCTGCCTCGAACCCGGGACCTCCGTCCTGCCCGGGCAGTGCCCCGAGGCGCTGAGCCACACAGCCGGACCGCTCCGCCTCCCGCCCCGCCTGCTCATGCCTGCGCTCCGCCCGCCCCGCCCGGCTCTGAGGGCACATTCCCATTCTCCTGTCCCTGCCGCATTCCCACTCCGCTGCCATGTTCCCCGCTCTCCTCTCTCTCCCGA